TATGCTCAATCGAAAAGACATGACTAAATATTTTAAAAAATGTTTTGAAACTGACATTGATTTTTTGTAGGGTAATATTTTTTTGGCCGCATTTGCTTTATCTTTGGCTTATAAGGATTTTCAAGAAAAAGATTTGAATTAGAGGCATTCCAAAAAATATTTTATCGCCATTTATTTCTTAAGTCTATTTACATGTTAATGTAAAAAATCTAAAAAGGTTTATAAAATATATAATATAACAATGGATAGAAAAATCAAAAAAATGTGCTCATCTTGTCTCGCTCGTCATAAGACTCATTATAAAAATTATAAAAAATGTTTTTTGTGTTTGGGAGAATTTGAAAGGGTAGAAAATCTTTCCGAAAAGAAAGAGATCTGTCCAAAACATAACGAAGAAAAAAAAAAATGAAAAGAGATATCCGGAAGGGGGAGATTAGAAGTTAGTTGCTCTTCCTGTATTGAAGAATGACTAGAGCAATGAAAAAAACAACTAAAACATCTCAAATTAAATCCATTATCAGTGGCCAAGTTCTTTTATGAGAGAGGAGTGAATGATATTGCTCTTATTCAAAGATTGATTTATCTGGTTTATATTGAAGTGTTAAAAAAGGAAAAGGAGCTGCTTTTCGAGGAATTATGACAAGCTTGAAATGGCGGTCCAGTCTTAGAGGGTATTTTTTATCAAATGATGGAATACTCAGAAAAGCATAGTAATTACCAAAGTTTTTTTAAGAAAGTTTCTCCTTTAGACGATAAAAAAATTGTTCGCTACTGCGAAGAATGATTTGCTTATTATCAGGAATGTGAAAAAAATAATCAATACTATAAAATTTCAGAAAAAGCTCAAAACTGGCCTTGAGAATTAGTACACAGCAAGTCCAAACATTATTTGAAACATAAAAAGATAGAATTAGGAGATATTGGAAAGACCATTGAGTTTGAGGAAGTATTAAGGTTATAACTTGTTATGATTTTTATTGGTTTAAACTCTCAAATTTTCTCTCAAAAAAGAATTAAGTGCATTCATCGTCCAGAGAAAAATTTTACTGATGCTGTCTTTGTCGAAGATTTTCAACCTTTTTAGTCAGGTCTTTTTGAATTACTTAATAAAAATTGAGAGGAAATTAGTCAAAGTAATCATTTTCGCATTTTAAGTGAAGATGACCGCAGAAAAATAGGCAAATATGTGGGGCTAGACAAGAAAAAACTTGCCCATTTGGTCAACGAAATTATTTATCAAATAGCAATTGGCAAGAAAGAAGAGTTTCGCCTTTTTGTTATTAAAAGAAAATCCAACAACAAAGATCTTTTAGAAATTGTCCTTTTTGATCCCAATCACTTATTTTTTTTTAGCAAGAAAAAATCTGAATATCCTTATGGTGAAGGAGTTGTTTGTTTAAGCAATATTTTTAATAAGGATTCGAATGAGAAAAAAATTAATTGTTCGGGAACAGAAGAAGGACCCCAAGAAAAATCGTTGATAAGAAAAAAAGACAAAAAGGAATAATTTCCGTATCGTGTTGTGAATCCAAAAAAAGGAAAAATAAATTCATTCTTAATAACTATTTCTTATGATGGCAGCGATTTTGCTGGTTGAGCTGTCCAACCTAATAAATTTACTGTTCAAGGCTATATCGAAACCGCTTTAAGAAAAATTTTTCAACAAAAAATTAATATTTTAGCGACTAGTCGCACCGATAAAGGGGTTCATGCTCGCGAACAAAAATTTACTCTGCGACTTAATTTAAATTTTTCTGAGGAAAAATTATTTACTTTATTAAAAAAAATATTTAGTGAATATGTTTTAGTCAAAAAGGTGGGTAGCTGATAATTTTCACCCACTCCGTAATGTTATCAGTAAAGAATACCGTTATTTTATTAATACCAAAAAAGTTAATATTTGACAGAAAAAATATCGTTGAGAATATAATTTACCACTGGCAGTTAAAAAACTAAATGAAATTCTTCAAGTTTTCCAAGGTCGGCACAATTTTTTTAATTATTCTTATTGTCGTTGGCAAGAACGAGAAAAAGTGAATACCGAACGGGAAATTACTTCCCTAAAAGGTTGAAAAAGAAAAAATATTATTGTCATTAGCATTACTGCTAAAAGTTTTTTACGCTACCAAATTAGAGCGATAATTGGTGAAGTTATTAATTGTTATGAGGGAAAACAAACGGTCAATGATTTGCAAGAAAAATTAGTTAGCTATAATAAAAAAAATTACAAATATAAAAATATTGCTCCGGCAAGCGGTTTATACTTATGGAAAATTGATTACAAAAAATAAGAAACTTTTGCGTCTATTTAATTAAAACAAAGGCAATTATATAGAATTTTACACCAAAAAAGAAGTTCATCATAAACTTTTTTATTTTATTTCTTTCCTTTTTCTCTCATTAAAAACAAACTTTTTTAATATTTACCATGCTTTTTAAACTGTAATTTAGCGTAGGGATTACGATAATAGACTTTAACAAAACATTTCTTATCATCTTTTTGAAAAATGCCAATTTTGCCAATAACTTCTGGCTGTCAAGGAATATAGACTGAGACACTAATAACTTGTTCTTCGAGATAAACAATAAAAAGTACAGTTTTGGAACTAACCTCTTCACCTTCTTTTACCTCACATTGCAATATTTTTTCCAGCGGCATGGGATTTTTTCTATCAACTTGAATATCTATTAATACTTGCAAACCCTCTTGATTAGTGATTTGGATAGCACAGTTAGGGTAGATTTTGCTAATAACACCCCGGAGCGGACTTTTGATTTTTCACCCCTTTAAGTCGCAAAAATAATAGGCCTTTCCCACCAGTGATTTTTCATTCTTTTTGAGAATTCGACACTTGATGGGTGGGGAAAGTTCTTCGCGGTATCATCCAATTAACCAAGAAAAAAATTTTTTTAGTTTAGCCCAATCTAATCGGAACTTCATATGAAAGATTTTAATGTCATCATTATCATATTTGCACCTAGTTTGTAGGTAAAGAAAAGTTTAAAATGTCTTTTTTTAGAGAATTTTTTATCAAAAAAGGAATATTAAGAGTTATTATTCTCACTCCTGAATTTTGTTTATCTATTTTCAGATGAATATATTTTTTTTCTTGCCAAAACTGGGGGTTTTTTTCTCCTCACTCAATAATGTTTAAATTGTCGATAGTTAACTCTTGAAGAGCGTCTAAATTGTCATTAGTATTTAAGCGAAAAAAGTCAAAATGGTTTAAATAATAATTATCTTTTATCTTATGACTTTGTAAAACAGTAAAAGTGGGAGAGGTTATTTTTTCTCTAATTTCCAGGTTTTTGGCTATTAACTGTGTTAAGGTGGTTTTGCCCACTCCAAATTCACCTTGCAAGATTAAATAAATATTAGGTCGAAGGAGGGGGATTAAAAGCCTACTTAATTTTTCTAGTTCCTCCAAGTTTTTTATTTGCTTTGATAACTGCATTTTAAGTAAGTTGTAGACATTGCCTTTTACTAATATTATTTTACTTACCTAAAAAGGACATTAAATATCATTATTTGCTTAGTAGTTGGGAAAGAATTCCTATTTCCGTTTTAAAAGCATTTTTGTTACACTTCCATGATTATTTGCTAGTTGTCGAAACCTCTGCTTGAACTGTTATGCTATGAGATTCACAACTTGTTTTATTGTTTTTCAACAAGCTTCCACAAACCTTGTCGTAATTTTCAATTTTGCAAAATCGTATTTCATTATTTTCTGCTTTACTTTTACAGTTAGAACAGAATGTTTTTCAGTTAACTATTCGGTCTTGGCATTTTTCACTAGCAACCACCATTAATGTATGAGTAGCAATGATGTTGGGATGAAGAACACATTTTTTAATTCTTTTTGAGGGAGCAAATAAATAGGTAAATTTCATGATATTATATTATAATTTTAAAGATTTTGATGACAATTAAAATTATTGTCATCTATGATAACAACTTCTCGTGTTTTTTTAAAAAATAAAAGTCGTTCTAGAAAGAAAAAACGCGCAGTAACAGCCAGGATATAATTCCGCTCAGACTTCTTTTTTTTCTTACATTTGAGATTTAATCTTCATTTTCAGAAATAAAGTAAAAATTATTAAATAGGGAGGTGTGGCCGAGCGGTTGAAGGCGGTAGTCTTGAAAACTACTAATACACTAGTATTCAAGGGTTCGAATCCCTTCGCCTCCTCCATAAAATTATGAAATTTTTTCAATATTGTTGGAATTTATGTTATGCCACCACTAAAAAAATAGGCATTGCTCTTTTCCATTTAATTTTTATTACCTTGTTTTGTACTTTGCCGCATGAATTAGGACATGCGTTAGCTGCTAATTTATTTTCTCGCAAAGTGGATTATATTACAATTGACTTTCTGCGTTCTTCCAAACATTGATTTTCTTTTAAGTTTTTTAAATATGAAATCAGATTAGGAAAAATACCACTTATTGGTGGCTCTACTCATTGAAGTGGGGAGATTTTAGGAACTAAACAACAAATATTTGTCTCAATGGCTGGGTTGCTTGCTAATTTACTGCTCGTTTTATTAGCTTGGTGGGCTGAAAACAAGGTAGAAAGTAAGTTTTGCAAGAAGTTTTTTCGCTGGCTCAAAGAATATAATCTTCTAACCATTATTTATAATTTCTTGGCTGCTCTTTGAAGTCCTAATTGTGATGTAAGAAGAATATTTTTCTTGCTATTTCGCAGAAGCTAAATTAAGCAAATAATAAAATTAATAATATATGGAACAGGTAGATGTCATTAATAATAAAGGTGAAGTAGTAAGCAACTTTCCACTTAATTCCGTTTTGTGAGAGACTCTTCTTTCCCGCTGAAATATTTCTCTCGCTAACCGTTATTATTTGGCTAATCAACGGCAAGGAACTAAAAAAACCAAAAATAAGGGTGAAGTGTCTGGTGGTGGAATTAAACCTTGACGGCAAAAAGGAACCGGGCGAGCTCGCTCGGGTTCGATTCGTAATCCCCACTTTCGCGGTGGCGGAGTAGCTTTTGGGCCACAAGGAGTGGAAAATTATTCCCTTGACATTAATAAAAAATTGAAAAAAAAAGTTCTTCAATCGCTCTTGGGCGAAAAAATGAGAAAGAAAGAGTTGATAGTTGTCGATAAATTAGTGCTAGACAATTACAAAACCAAAGAGGCTGAAAAGTTCCTTAATATTTTGCCAATCAAAAAATCTAAATCTCTTCTCATTTTATCTGATAATGAAGAAAACAAAGCCAAAATAATCTGTTCGTTTCGCAACTTACCTTATGTAAATATCAGTGATAGCAAGTCAGTTAACACTTCGCAAGTATTAATTCCTGGTTATCTCATTTTTACCCAGTCAGCTTTTTCGGAAATAGAAAAAAGATTAAGTTAGAAAGATAAAATTGTACCTATAATAAATTATAATATAGTAGGTTATATAAATAATAAAAGTAATAAATTAAAATAAAACCATGTCAGAAAATAAAATAATTAAATGTGCGAAATGCCAACAAAATGCAGAACAAGACTGAAATCGTTTTAGAGATGAATATACCACTTCTTATCCTATTCGGGATAAAGACGGGCAAATCTACTGCT